CAAATAAAGAAAAAAATCTTCAAAATATCACCTTAAAAAAGAAACAAAGAAGTAGAAAGCACCGCCACACTGTTCATTCAGGCCAGACTTTGTGCGCTAACATGGATGGGGAGATCCGGTCAGTAGAGCACGTGCTGCTGCCCCAGTGCGGAATGTGGCAGTGACCAGCAGGACGTCTGTCACAGTGCCCCCTGCATTCCTCACTGATTTTGGTCCCAGGCCAGGCCAGGGCTGAGTGCTGTCCGCAGAGGTACACGACAAGGCCTGCCAGCCTTGGCTCCTGGCCCTCCTGTGACCGGGACAACTGCTCCCGGGGGGTGGCAGGTGGCAGACGGGAGGGGGGCCCCCAAGGACCCCCGAGCCCACCCTCCCGGAAGCCCCGTGGCCAGTGGACCTGCTGCTCTTGCCTCATTGCCCCCCTGCCATATCCCAGGCTTTCAGCAACTTTGGTTTCTGGGGCTCCTCAAGCATGAATTTCCCCGTGAATCACTAAAGAACTCCCGAAAGCCCCAGTCCAAGGGGGCTTCTCACGCGCTCCAGGGTGCTGCAGGTTTCCCAGCAGGCCTGCTACCCTCGGCGGGGGCCAGAACACCAAAGGCGTCCCAAGCCCGCGAGCGAGGCGGCTGAGAAGCCACGGCTGCGCATCTCCCCAGCTGCGGCTGAGATCACCTGCACACCCCGCCATGGCCCACCTGGGGGCCATCGTGCTTCCAAATCTCAGAAACAGCAGTTTTGTGTGACGACTGATGGACGTGGCAACTAACCTTACTGTGGTCACTACTTCGCAATATATACGCGTATTAAGTCACATCGTACACCTTAAACTCACACAGTGCTATATGCCGATTAGTTCTCAATAAAGCTGGGGCAGAAATCAATAAATCTCCAACGGGAGCAAGTCCAGGGGTACTTGGCAGTGTGCTGGGAGGTTTTCAAAACCACAGGGTCATCCCAGAGCAGTGATTTTATCTAAACGTAGGGAGTAAGACATTTTTATACTAAAACGCATATGATTCTTTTGTGAAGATAAACCAACGTTTGCATAAACAATTGTGACAAAATACATGATTCACACTCCAAAAAAAGGTCCAGCTTCCCCACTGGAGGCCATGTCCTGTGCATGGCCCCCCTCCTGTGAGCAGAGAGCGGGAAGTCCAGCCTTGAGGGAAGGCATGTCCATGCAGGAACCAGCCTGTCCCTCGGGGTGCTGAGGGTTCTCCCGGACCAGGGGTTGGATGGGGGAGGGGGGCGCTCCCTGGGCACTGGAGGAAGAGGTGGGAGGCAGCGGCCTCGCAGGTAGGCAGGGTTTGCAAAAGCAGAGAGGCCTTCCCAAAAGAGAGGGATTAAGTCCCTAAAGAATCCTTCACTGGAGGGGCACAACCAAGGCCCCCAGGCCAAAGCTTCCTGGACCTGGCTCTAGGGCAGTTATCTGGGAGGAAAAGCTCCATACAGGATGAAGTTCCTCACTGCCTGTAACAGCAAAAACCTACGGAAAACACCACAATGCCCCCAGGCAGGCGCCTGACAATGCCACTTACAGCACATCGGCCCAGTGGACTAGCACGGAGTTAAGAACGTAGAAGTCTACTTACTGATCTGGAAAGGCCCAGTATATAAGCTGAAAATAAGGAAATTATGGAATGGTGCACACAACACAGCCCCATTTTGGGTTATGAGAAACATACATCCAGAAGCGTATTCCTTCAGGGCGAAAGGCCTTTTCACTGTGTTTTCAGATGTTCTGTTACCAGTTGTATATTATTCAAGTTACGATTAAAGATGTTCCTAACAGGGTATTTCCAGCAGAAGGCAGAACCGTTATGGTAGAACTCCATCTTTCTCAGACGTGCGAAGGCTCGAAAACAGAGAGCAAAACCCGAAAACTCCGTGGGACAGGAGGGGACAGAGGGAGGACACGGAGAGAAGAGCCAGCATCAGAGACATGTGCGCTCTGCGTGCAATCCGCGGGTCACCCCGGCACGGGGATGCTCCAAACCCCGCCGACCGGGGAGCAGGAGGGCCAGGACGGGCCGGCCGAAAGCTCCTTCTGTCTCGGGGCGCTCGGCACTGGTGCAGCAACTCGCCTTTGCCCCTAATCTACACCAGGTTTAAGAGACAAAGAAAAGCCAGGCCAGTCCCAGCACGGGGCTTTGTGCTGGCCGGCCCCCCTTCCAGCAGCCTTGAGGTAGAGCAACAGCGCCCCGCCGGGCCCACGGCAGGAAAGACGGACGCCGGGGCCCTGGAACCGAGTCTGCTCCAGAAAGCCAGGCCCAGACGGGCGCTTGCCGGTGGGGGTGGGGCACACAGCTGGGGGAGCGGGGTGCTGCATCTGCAGGGCAACGGAGGGCCCTGCGGGGTGCGGGGAGAAATATGCATGCAATGCCCACGTCTCCTGCGAAAACCAGGATGCTCCCCACTCCCCACTAACAGCCAGGGTGGGCAGCCTGTTCAAGAGTCAACAGGCCCATCTGGGTGCCCCAGGAGAGGACACGGGGTGGGGGGGCTGCCACCCACAAGGCTCTGCCAAGTCCCTGCTCAACTGTACTCAATGTCCCCATCTGGGAAAGGGGGATAATCCCAGGGCCCTGCCCACCTCCCACACTGCAGAATGAATGGAATCAAGGGACAGTCAGGGTGACGCCACCGGGTCGTGACCTGCCATTTCTGGCTGCATGAATTTGGAGGAGCTACCGGTCCCCTGACTTCAGCTTCCACAGACACCCCCCACCCACACACACCATGAGCCCGATACCACTGCTGCTTTCTAGAGCACCATTTTCCACACCGAACTCACATAGGTCCCGAGAGCCACGTGGTGTGTCATGACCTCTTAAAAAAAAAAGCAGAGATAGAAATGTCTCGTCACAGGAATAGGAACAGGTTCCTGGCATTTAATAAGCTCTCAAAAACCTTAGGTGTTATTCTCCCCGATGAGGGCGGCAGTACTGACTACTGTCACACTAGCCGTTACAGGGGAAACGAGCAGAAGGTCTTAAGCCTCTGGGGTCCCTTTTAGGTGCTATGTTTTCCCGGGACTGGCAACAGTGCCGGGGGGCAGGTGGTCTCAGACAGCTGACACATCCCTCAACAATCTGCTACCAGAGTAAGTAGGAAATTCAAGGCAGCCCTTGCCAACCCCAAAGAGCATTTTCCTACCCAAAAAAGGAGCCACTTTGCTAAGCATGACCCTCAGCCAAAGGCTGGCGCAAACCACTGAAGTCCTTCTCGGTCTGGCTTTACGTGTGGTTACTCAGAACAACAGAGAGCCTGAGTTCAAACACAGCCTCCTCCTGACCAAAATAGAGCCCAAGAAGGGCCTGCAGGTCATGTAAGGCCGATAAGAGGCTACCACAGCGGTCTCCCCACATAACCTCGCTGCCTCGCCCCCAGGGCTGCTGACCCCCCGTCTAGGTCAGGGCGGCTGTGGAGGGCCGGGGGGACCTGACTCGGGGCATCAGGGTGCTGCACGACTTCCAGCTCTGGGCCCGGGTCTCCCGCAGCGCCAGATCTTCCCTGACCTCCTCCTGCGTGTCCCCAGCCTCACATGCCCCCCAATTCCCCCACGACAGGAAGGCTGGTAGATGGTGGGCAGAGCTTCGGGACTATGGTTTTCATGTCCTTTACACTGAACTTGCCCCTCCCTGATTTCTGGAACAGGACCCGCGAGATGGGCCTCTCTCATCTGTTGACGGCACTTTGATCTCTCATCAGGGCAGAGGGACTGTCACCCCAGGTCTGTGATCTGATTCGGCGGAGGGGGTGGGGCAGCAAGCTGCGGCCATGAGAAGAGTGAGCGCTAGCATTCATGGTAACGCAGTCTCCACAAGAGCCCTACAGAGAGATGCTACCATGACCCTATTCACTGCAGAAAACTGAAGACAAGGGGTAAATTGCCAGGGACACGCTGCCGGTAAACGGCAGAGCCAGGATCAAGGCCAAACAGTGTCCAGGACCCCGAGCTAGATTGGAATCCCAGGACCATTATTTACCAGCTGCCTGACCTCGGGCAGGGCACTCGGCCTCTGCAGGCTTCAGTTTCTTTAATCTGTAGAATGGGATGATAGCATCTCCTTGCAGGCAGTGTGTCAAGGAGACAGAGTAGCGCAGAGTACCAAGCTCAGCGTGTAGGAGGTGCCCAGAAACACTGGTTCCCACCTTGTTTCTTGCACGTTTGGGCCCAGAGGTGGTGAGGGCCGTGGGGTGGCTGAGTCTGTCTGTCTGGGAGGTCCCGCCCCAACACCTCAGCCTGTGCCCACTGGACGGGCCTTGGGAGCAGATGTCTCTCTGGTCTCATGCTGCCCCCAGCACAGGGTGGTTGTGCGGTGGGGGCTTGGGAGCAGCGCACTGACTAGGGAAGGCAGTCAGGGGGTCAGGAAAGGGGAAGGTGGCAGATGACAGCACCAGGACACCGAGGGACCGCAGACACCATACCTGGCTTACCTCTACTTCCCCAGGGTACCTGTGTGTGCCCACCTGTGTGCATGTATGTGCATGTAAAGGGAACTCAGCTGAGTGGCCAGGGGGCCTGGGGCTCACTCTACCTTCTTCATCACACACAGGTGGCACCTTTCAGGTTATCAGTCCCTTCCACCCATGTGATTCGTGGTCCTCACGACTGCCTTGTTGGAAGGCAGGGCCCAGGTCAACAGCCTGTTTAAGAACAGTGACATGGGGCCCAGGGGGCTTCAATCACGTGCCACAAGCCCCAGGCCATCAGTGATGAGCTGGGTGGAGAGCCCAGGGCTCCTGGGCTGTCAGGGGTGGGGGCAGCCCTGCTGGGACTCAGTACAGAACTGGGGACCAGGGGCCTGCCCTGTGGCCAGGGAGGAGAAGGTTAACATCTGAGTCCAGCCCGAGCACACCAGGCCACAGGGAGTGATGACCCAGGGAGACAGGTTTTCTCAGATGCCCGGGACAGAGGGAGGGAGGGAGAGAGGAGCCCTCACCAGAGAGCCTGGAGCAGGCCAGGAGGAGGCCCTACCAAGGACGTGGAGACCTACCGCATGATGCCCAGAGGGTCCAGTGCCTCCTCCTCTTCGTCCTCGGAGGAGTTTCTTGCATCCTCGCCCTTCTGGCCTGGGATGGGCAGACCCTCAGCCTCCGCTCGGTCCTGCTGCTCAAAGAAGTCGAAAGCCTCCCCGTCATCCTGGGCCTGGCTGTGTGAATCCAGGACAGAGACATCTCTGCTGGTGAGGTCCGCAGACCCTGGGGATCTGGTGCCTGTCGAAGGAGATGGAGGAGAGTCCCTGATGTCCATGACCAGGGGACGAGACAGTGCTGCCCTGCACCCAAGCTCCTGTGCTGGGACCTGAGCTGGGGGCCTCCTGTAGCGTCCTGGGACACCCGGGTGCCAGGTCTGGGTGCACAGGGCGCAGCCGGGGCTCCAAGCCTAGAGCCTGTAGCGAAGCCTGGAGTGGAGTGGTTATAGGTGCGAGCCTTGGAACCAGTTGGCAGCAGGGCAACAGCCGAGCCTACGTCCCCTGGCTAAGGGCAAAAAAGCCGGCCAGCTTACATTTGTGGGGCATATCAGGGAGCTCTGGCAATCCAACCACGGATGAAGGCTGGCTCCAAGGGTCTGGGTGCTTAGACTATGAACCCAATGGGTGCACAGTGAGCTCATGGAAGATTCCAGAACGAACTGTAATGGCTCCATTACAAAGTGGCTTACATCAGCACTTCTCAAAGCATGGTCCCCAGATGGATATCCATGATGTGGTAAGCAGAGAAAAGGAGAGCAAGCATCTGGAAACATCCATAGCAGCTTGGCATTGTCACGGCATCTAGACATGTGATTTCGTATTTGTGGAAGTATCTGTCCGTGACAGATTGGGAATATAAATCTAGTCCTTCCCCACAGATGGATTAAACGGGGGTTTAGACTACTTATTCACCTCTATCCAGAGAGTTACTGAATAGAAGATCTTTGAAAGCAGTTCCTGTTAAAAAAAAAAAAAAATACCCCTTAGATAAGGAACCTACAGTATGCCTGCCAACGAGATATTAACACATACATCAAAGTAATATGCGTTACTGCATTACATAAATCTAGGCAGTAATGATATGTCGCCTTATATTATGCTTTGTTATTTTATTAGGACAAATGTGAAAATACCACTCAAAATTTCAATTCCATGTAATAGGCATTGTGTAAAAAGCATTTTACAGGTAAGGACTCATTGAACTATCGTAAAAATCCACGCGAGAGATTCTGTTTGTGCCTCTACTTTACAGATAAGGAAACGGAGGCACAGAAAGGCTAGGAGAGTCAGACCACTGTATCTCGCTTCTCTGTAACAGAGGGGCCAGGAGATCTGGAGTTTCTTCCAGTATGGATCAGCAGGAGCCCCCATATCACAGGCAACACAGCCCACTGGGGGGCAAGCAGGTTGTGATCTCATAGCAAACAACTCGGGGCCCACAAGTGCATGGGAGGGGCTGGAAAAGGAGACAAGTAGCCGGGGCTCTGCCCCAGCCTCTGTGCATTCACTGGCTTTGCTTTTTTCTTCCTCACCCCTTTAAAAAATTTTTTGGCTTATTTGCTGTTAACTGTCTTCTGAAAAACCCCTATCTGCCTTGTGACGCTTAGAGACGGCAGTCATTGGGAAGAAAAGTTGTGAACAGAGTGGTCCAAAGAAGGGAGAAAGTCAGGGGGGAGAGCCCAGCACCTCCCGAGGAGACCCCTCCCCACCCAGGGGCACATAAGCACTTCATCTGCCCTGGGGCCTCTGTGCAGGCCTGGACACCGGGGTGTGTGGAGTGGGGGGTGCACGTCAGCCGTCCTTCACACGCGGGGGCTCGCGGAATGCTCATGCCACCTGGCAGCCAAGCATCCTCCCATCTGACAGCTGAGGAAACCGGAAAGGGGGAGGAGGTGACTGTGGACACGGCCTGCAAGGGTTTGAGGTCCCCAGTACTGGACCAGTGTGGGCTGAGCCTGTGCCTGCTGCCAGAGCCATCAATGTTGCCGGCGGGCGCAAGCTGAGGGGGGTGTCCCAAGGGCCAGGTCCGCAGGCCTGGCTGGCAGGAGGCAACGTGGGGGTGTGTGTGTGTACGGGTTGGGGCACTCTGGGGGTGGCCAGGAGGGGCACGGGTGGGGTCAGACCACAGAGAAGGCCCCGTGTGAGCCCCAACCGGCACCCAGGCAGGCAGCGTCCTCCTGCCAGCAGTGGTGGGCCCGCTCCGGCCCAGCCAGGGTAGTGAGGCCGGGTTCTGGGCCAATGGAGACCTCAGAGGTTAGGGACAGAGCCTCAGGTACCTAAGAATTCTAACAGCTCTGGGCTTCCTGCCAACTCGGCGTCCTTCGAGACACAGCGCAGAATCTCATTGAACACGGCTCTTCTTTCCCGGATGTCGGACTCCCCAACGAACAGGACCTTCTTGGGGAGCGGGGGAAGGCTGGACGTGGGGTAACGACTGCTCAGTTTCTGGTAGAACTCCTCAATCTCACTGTACTTTTTCGAGACCTGGAATGAGAGGAGCATGAGACTTCCCGAATATTCTCCCCCTCACCCCGCCCAGACAGCGCGGAGGCCGGCCTGTTTGGAGAGCCCGTCTCCAGGACAGCTGCCACAGGACAGACAGGTGCCTTGGGCGTGCCTTGCTCCCTCTGACCCTCCACCCATCCCCCTGCCTGGGGCTCCATTCCCAACACCCCCTAATCCGTACTAGGCTAAATTATGAAAGTCTCAGTAGCCAAAGGGGAGATATAATCATGGTGGATTCCATGCACTGTCACAGGGCCAGGTAGAGACCTGTGACACAGGGACCCCAGCCTGGCCCACAGGTGACCATGGAGGCTGCCTGCCTCCATTTCGGGCCTGCAGCTACATTAGTGGGGTGACTTCATGGTCTGGCCGGCTGTTAGGTCATCTTCCTACAACAACAGGAGTCACCTCTCCTCAGCACGGATCTCTGGATCATTCTCCCCTGCAGGAGCATCAGCCTTCTGGTGGGGACGGTCCTTACAGTGCTCACGTGGAGAAGAACCACATATAGCAAGGTTGCTTTTGGTGCTACTGTCAGCCAGGACTCCCCCCGTCCCCCTGCACCCTGGGACCTCAGGGAAGCAGGCAGGAAGGGCGTCCCAGGCCATCTGGGTCACCGACACAGCACCCCGTCTCCGGCAGAGTCCGCTCTGTGTGAGGCCACCCCAGCAGGGTCTCTGCCCCACACGGCCCAGGCCTCACGTGGCGTGAGCAGCTGAAGCGTGGCAGGGTCGAGGCATCGCTGCGGACCGTGCAACCCAAGGTGGGCTCTCAGCTCCCAGCCACACACCCCACCGGCCGCCCAGCACCCTCCCTCGTCTTGGACTCTGCGCTCTCCCCTTATGCGAGACCTGTCTCCCCAACTCCTCTGAGGGAGCACGGAGCATACAAACAGGGACAGTCCCATTCTTACTCCCAGGCCAATGCTGGAAATGCCCGTGCGACTGATGGACGAGACCCGGGCACCCCGGGGCACAGCGCTGTCACAGCACGCACCCCTGGCCAACTAGAACTCTCCCCAGAACCCCCAGCCTGTGAGGGGTTCAGATGCCGGTAGGTGGCTGGGGCGGAATTTAGATCCCCAGCACCCCCACCCCCCCCCCACGCTGGGGAGTCACCTGGGACAGGGGCCTGTAGCCTGCAGTTGTCAACACAAGAGCCTGGCTCTGGAGCTTTCCTGAGAACAGCCCTCAAGGAAAGGTGAGACGGTCCCCTCGCACAAGGGATGCAGGCTCCAACCCCGCCCCCGCGGTCCTGAGAAGAGAGGACTCCAGCTGGGCAGGGACTGGGCCCCCCTCCCGGAAGCTCTGACCCGGAGGGTTGAGCGCCCTCTGCTGGCCTGACAGCTCCACACGGGCCCAGCCCATGGACCCACCGGGACTGCGGTCCTGGAAGCTTGGAGTCTCCAGAGCACTGACCGTGCAAGGGGTCAGGAAGTGTTAAGTCAGGGGTGTCACCCCCTCCAGGACCCACATTCATCAGTGTTCCAGAGCCAGGGCTTTTTAAGTAGCTACCTGAACAGTGGCAGGAGGGGGCTGAGAGGGGCAGGGAGTGCAGAGGATGGGAACTCCCGTGTGTCTCGTGTGTCCACATGCGGGGCAGACGGCACCAGCACACGGGGAGTCCGCTAATCGGCAAGCACACCTACAGTGCCCCTTTCTGGGGCTGGTTTTACTTTCTGATTAGCAATTCAATTCATTTTTATGTTAAAGCATGTGTATCCTTTGCAGGAATAGAATGCAAAATGCTTTTTTTTTAAAAAAAGCTAAATCATGAAACTTCAGAGATTTCCCGGCTTTGGGTTGCAACCCCAGATTTCATGGGGGGGTGGTGGTGGCAAATGCATTCTCCTCTGCCCTCACAGGTGGTTGAAAATGTCAGAGAAGCACCTGCAGGAATGGCCAGCCAGGCCATGCACATGCACCCTTCGTAGGGCGTGGGTGTTACTGGTCAGAAGAAAGGGGCACTGGTGTGATGCATGGAGGGGTCAAGCTGTCTTCACACATAGCGTCACACGGGAGGCTGGCCGTCGGCACAGCACGGACAGGCTTGCCTGGACGCTCCTTGAGGCTCCCCGAATGCTGCCTCTCCATTATGCCCAGAGACGTGACCTCAGATAAGCTCTTCTGCTCCCATCCCCAAAAACGGGTGTATGTGGAGCTCCACGGGGGGTCGGGACAGATGATCAGGAGCTGCAAACCCCCACCACTCGGGGCCAAGCAGAACCAGAACGACCACCTACCATTAGACCTTGATTCTCACCCAAAGTCAAAGTAGCACATGAAAAACATGTCTTTTAGATGCTTCCCATGTGTTAAATCTCCCTCAAAGAAAGACCTGTGCCATGCATTTTTATCTCTGAGAAGGTGACGTCTCTGCTCCTAGGGCACCGGAGCGAGGTCCCTCACCGTTTCCCTTCCTGTCTTGGCTGCCAGGAGATTCAGAACGAACTGCGTGCAAACCTGTAGCTACTGATCCTGTCTAGACCACAGGGCTCTGGTTCATCTTACCTTTATTTCAAAGCTCTCTCTTCCCTTAGCTCCTGTGACTCCACAAAGCCCCCTTCTCCTCCCTTGGCCTCAGAGGCTCCTCCTTCTCCGCGACCATCCCTGGGCTGCTGGGTCTCTGGGGTTCCCTCCTAAGCCCTTCCCTCCGCCCTGCACGTCCATTCTCTGGGCAACCTCATCCACTCCCAGACTTTCAACATCACCTCCAAGCTGACGCCTCCCACACCTGCCTCCTAGGCCTGACAGGTCCCTGGCTCTAGCCTCATGGATTCGTCCTCCTGTGTCTGTCAGACAGACACTTTACACTCTACACATCCCCCTGAGACCTGCCCCTCCAGCCCTTACTTCCGCTGGTGCACACGGTCCGTCAGCAGATGATATGCACGTTACCGTGGAGATATTTTACAACCCTCTGCGTCCCCCTCACACCAACCACTGCTGGCCTGCCTCCAGCCCTCCCCTGGAGCATCACTGGCCTGGTCGCTGGGCCCCCTGCCCCTGCCCGGTTCCTTCCAACCCAACTCCACTCCCAACCAGATGGGCCAGTGAGTCACTCCCCTACTTAAAACTCCTCCTTGGCTGCAAGACAAGTCAGGCTCCCTACACGCCCTCCATGACCTGGACTCTGCCCGTTGTCTCCCGCTTCCTTCAGGATGATGCTCCACTGCACGCAGTTCCCCACACGCGACCCCCATGGCTAGCCTCCGCTTAGGCTGTGCCCTCTGCCGGGGATGCCCCTGTGCCCTAGTGCTGGCTAGAGAAGCGCCCACTCCCTGATGCTGCTCACACCTTGGTGGCAGGTGTGTCTGTGCGCCTGGCTCCCTGCCCCCTGGGCCCCCCCCAGGAACATCCTGGCAGAGCCCCCAGCTCACCAAGAACTGGACGACATCCTCGGGCCTGTGCTTAGCCGACTTGAATGCAGCCAGCCGGGTAACCACCAGGATCTGGTACTCCACGTGGCCTGACATCATCTTGCCCCGCACCTCCTGGTGCTGGGGCACGGTCAGGTCGAGGCCCGTGTGGACATTCTGAACTCGCCTGCCAAAGGGAGAGAAGGCAAAGGAAGCTCAGGTTCAAGTCAGCAGGCTTCTTGAGCGACACGCAGACAGGACCTCAGGGGGATCCTGCAGGCCTGGGTGGGGGGCACTCTGCAGGCTGTCCTCAGTGGTCACTGCTTCGGGCCACCTGCCCCGCCACACACCAGCCCCTCCTAAGGCCTGGCTTCCCAAGCCTCAGGCGTGGGCCCTGCCTATGGGCTGCTCCCAGACCCAGGGCCGTCCCCAGCCGCAAAACAAGTGGGAGCAGAAGAGATGGGCTTGTGAAAGTCACCCACGGGGAGGAGTGTTCCATACACTTGGTGCATGAGCCCCTGTAGGATTCGGAGGGATGGCATCTGGGGGCTCTATTCCCGACAAGGAAAGTGCCTGGTTCCCTGCGCGTAGTGCAAGAACAAGACGCCGCCGGGAGCCTGGGTAGACACACATCTTCAGCGAACCGGAGGGCAGCGGGGCTACAACGGAACCTGCCCAGGGCCCTGGATGCAGGGTCCTCATTAGCCTCGGGGCCCTGCAAGGCACTGAGAAGGCTGCTGCACGAGGCTTGGGGAGGGTGCTCAGCAAAACATCACAGCTCTCGCAGAATCTGTCAATGCTACACCAAGGTACTGAGCTGTATGGGGGGCAAACAAGTCATGAAACGTTTTCCCTGAAGTGATAAAAAAAAAAAAAAAAGGTAACTGCATCCCCATCCTTTGTAAGGGGGTAATGTAGACCCATGCATACAAATACATGTGGACAGGACCCCTCATCATCAAGGTCGAAACCTACTATGGGCTCGGCAGGACTTCCAGAACACAAGTAAAGGGGTGCTCCTAGGAGGAGGGCGTTTCTGGGCTAAAACTGTACCAGGGCAAGGCCCTTTCCCTCTCTGGACTAAGGTCCCAATCCCTCAAAGACACTCTGGCCCCCAGGACTCCTTCTGCACGGATTTCTCCCACCTGCACACCAGGCATGCAACACAGTGACCATGGGGATGCCGTTTGTCACCCACCAGGGACAACGCCATACGCCCGCATGTGAAGTGTGCACCTACACGAGCATTTCCATGGGACACAGAGCACACTGCCATAGGCACTGATGACTCAGGGAGGCCCAGGAGACACCAGATGTACCTGTGTGAGATGGAAAACCACATCTAAGGTATCAGCCCTCCTTTCCTTTGGCCAGTAACCGAATGAGCGTGCTTGGCCTTCCGCCGAGCGAGCCGGGCTGCTCCTGGCTTAGCGCGAGGCGTGCACGCGTGTTCCTGTGGCGAGCGCAGGAATGCAGAGCCCACTCAAGGTGAGCCTGGCGGCAGCCAGCACTGCTACACGCTCTCGGGACCTCACCTGAGCCACTCCTGCTCTGGCAGCTCTACAGGGGACACCACCGCTGGGACCCATTTAAAGAGCGGGAAGGAGACACAAGGGAGTCACCTGCCCGGGTCTCCGCAGGTCAGAGCTACCCCAGAAACCGGGGCTGCCTCTCGCAGGGTGGAGGGAGGACTCAGGATCGTTATGGCAATGAGGCACAGGCGGGCGAAGTGCAGAGGAGGGGGGCCTACGCCGGGCTCAGGCTCTCCCTCTCAGGACCCCGCATCTGACCACAGCGGGACGTGCAGCCCGCAATCCCACCGCCTTCCGCTGCCCCTCCTGTCCCTGTCATGCCTCCTCAGCAGGAAGGCCCTGGGGTGCCACGGCTGGGACCACGGCTTCAGGCCCCAGCTCTCCCGCCCTGTCCCGAACTCTCCAGTTCTCTGCCTCCTTTGGACTGGGGCCCAGCAGCCGCCCGGGACGGGGACAAACGCTCAGACATGCCAGCCAGTCCCCCAGGGAATTCATGGCCATAAGCAGCAGGCTGCAGCCTGGGCCTGGCACCCCTCCCTTGCTCTAGACCTGGTCTTCTCCAAGTGTGGTTCCCGCCACATCGGTGCCACCTGGGAAATTCAGGCCACTGGGGGGGGAGGGTGGCGGCGGACACACTATCTTCATGTTGACAACTCCTCCAGGGAACCCACGCACCTGAGCAGACTCACTCTCCCACGCCCCTGGGCCCTAGGCAAACTGTTGCCATAAGAGGCCAGATGATAAACATTTTAGGCTTTGCAGGACAGAGATCTCTGTCACAACTACTCAACTTAGCCATGTGGCATGATAGCAGCCACAGCCGATACAGACACTTTATTTATGGGCGTGATGTGGCTCACGGGCGTAGGTTGGTCAGCTACGCCTTAGACCAAGCTTCTCGAACCTCACGGGCATCCGAGTCACCTGAGGAAGCTGTCAATAGGCAGATCTGGATTCAGCAGGTCGGGGACGGGGCCTGAGAGTCTGCATTTCCAGCCAGCTCCCCCGTGATGCTGATGCTATTCTGCTGCTCCCCGGACCACCCACTGAGCAGCTAGACATGGAGTCTAAGCCGCCCCTCTCAACAAACCCCCGATAAGCCCCCAACGCCTGTTCTCCCCTGACAGCCCTGCTTCTTATTTCACCGAGAAGGGCGGCAATGAGAGAAATCCCTGAGCCTCCCCCACCGCTGGGGACACACTGGTTGGCTCCTACCTGAGGCCATCTCCTACTCAAGGCATGCTTCTGCAAGCTTCTGCAAGTCTTCCTTCCCCCCTTCTCTCTCCCCCTCCACCCCCTCCCACTGTCCCCCTGCTCCCAAACCCACAGTTCTTCACTGCCTCCCCCAACGCTCCCCCGGGCCCACTCCACTCCAGCCATGCTGGCCTCCTGGCTGGTGCCCAAGCACCACCCCTCCACCCCCGCCCCTGCCCCAGGACATTGGCTCTGCTGTCCTCTCTGCTTGTTCAGTCTTGTTCAAGATATCCTCGTGGCTCTCTCCCTTAGGGAGCTTGTCAGCATCTGCCCAACTGCCACCCAACAGAACGACACTCCTGGACAAAACAGCACTCGCTCCTATCTCTTTTTCCCTGCCGCTGAATTTTCCTTCATACCGTTTATCATCCCTGACACATCATCTGTTTACCTCCTGTCCAGCTGTCCCCACTAAAGCTCCATGAGATGGGCTTCATTCTGTTCACTGCTGTGCCCTAGAATCTGAACCAGTCCTTGGCACAGAGCAGGTCAGTAGCTGCTGGACGAACGCAGGTATGAGTGCACGCGCTGATGAGCGGTGGGGGGCTGTGCTGGGAAGCTGCGCTGGGGCCTGACTGTGAAGAGCCTGCCCGGTGGCTGGTCTCAAGCGTCTGGACCCACCCTGTGGGCAGGTGCGAGCAGGGAGTGAGCACCGCCCCCTGGGCCTTCATCACCAGCACCCATGACCGTGGGCAGGCCCTGCCGGGTTGGGGGAGGGAGGAAAGCCACCCATCCCCTTCCCAAGCACCCCGCACCAAAGTCACACCCCATCTGCGTGTGGCCGAGAGGGGTGTCTGCGGCCGGTACTACTCATACTTTCCAATCTCAAACCTCCTTTTTGCAGAGAATGAAACAGGCTCAGGGAGAGGTGACTTAGGAAGCACCAGGTACACCTCTTATGCCAATGAAGACACAGCCTGTGACCTCCCTGGGTCATGCAGGGAGCACCAAGCAGGTTCTGGGATCAGGGTTTACTTACAGAATCACATTTTTCTAGACCTGAAGTCACAGGGGCGCTCAGATTACAGCTGGTAAAAGAACAGTTGGGCTGGGAAAGACATACATTCATTTATGCAATAAACTGGCATCTTAGACCAAGGTCCTGTGTAGGGGGAATGAGAGTGGGGTCTATGAAAATACCTTAAGTGAGTCACTCTACAAAAGACTCAAATCATGTGCATCCCATGCTTCCCAGGATCCAGTCCCTCAGGTCTGGGGCAGGGTGAGCCCCCCCCCCCCGGCCCCCGCACCTTCTGCCTCCGAGGCCTCTACTTGCACTTCTCCTGAGCTACCTCCTTGAGGAGCTGGTACCTCTTCTCCCCCCTTCACCTGGTTAACTCCTACTCTTCCTGAGGGACGTGGCCTCATTCGCCCACTCCTCGAAGCCGGGTTCCGCACTTGCACTGTGTTCCCAAGGAACCTGAACCTACTGCCCCCGCCCCTTAGCTTCTGGCCCCCCGCAGATTTGTGTTCCTCCTGTGTCCCCTGCAGGGCCGGGCCTTTTCTGATTCACCCCCATCCCCAGGGCCGCGCACCGGGCCTGGCACACAGTGAGCACTGAAAGGAGCCACGAACTGTATTTTCGGGCTCAAAAGAAATGAACGCACGTCGGCAAAGGGGACAGGAGACCCCCTCTCCGCCCGCCTGCGGGGCCAGCCAATCCCGGCCTTCCACTGGGTCCGGGGCGAGTTCGTTACCCTTTTAAGGGCCTCAGTTTTCCCCATCTGTAAAACGGGGACACTCAATGCGCCCACCTCTCCTGCAGGGCGGTGGAGGGGCCGACCCCGGACAACCCGCCGGGGCGCTGGCGAGGCCGCGCGGCGGGCCCACCGGGCCGGACGCCTCCGCCTGCTCCTCCGACGAGGGCGCATCTGGCTCGTTCGCGCGCACCCGAGACGCGGCGCCGGGCCCGGGGGTCTGGCTCACCTGGAGGTGACGAGCACCGCCGGGGACTGCATGACCGCGGCGACTCCGGGCGGGGCGTACGGTCACGGGACCCGCGGGCGCCAGCGTCGCCGCGTCCCCGCCCCGCGCGCTCGGCCCGCCCCGGCTCCGGCCTCCGCCCGCCCCCTGGTGGCCACCGAGCTCGGCCAGCGGCCGCCGTGAATTTCCGGCCTTTCTGGAACTTTGAGCAGTGACCGCGCACCGACTGCCCTGCGCCGGCTCGGCGCTGTCGGAGGCCCGTGTCCAGCTAGGCCACGCCCCCTGTCCCCCCACCCGCACCCCCCGTGCCCGGACCAGGGTGCTGAGCCAACGCGGCGGCCTGGAGGCACGGGAGGGTAAGCGCAGGAAGCTTGTTGGTAACCGCAAGGCCTGGGCTGCGCCACTTGTCCCGGTGGCGACAGCGCCCGGGTCACTTAGGAGAGTGCCCAGAGTGTCCCGGTTCACACGGTAAATTACTGGGCTCTGCTGCCTTGGGGAGAGTGTTGGGAAACAAGGCAGCCAGCCGGTGGTCATGGCCCCGGGGGTGCTTAGAGGAGGGTCAGATGAGGTAACCTATAACCCAGCAAACAGGATCAGTTAGACCCGCGGGTGGGGCGTTGTCCCAAGAAGCAGCCCCTGACGACTCCAGAGGCCTTCCAGTGGCTCTCCTGAAAGAGGCCAACAGGGCCTTCTCATCAAAAGCTTCTCAAAGCTTCTTTCCTCTCCCCTGCTAAGGAGATAACTGTTTCGACTCTTGTTAAAACCCCAGGGAAGACTTCCTGAGACTACTGCAATGGGCTCTGGACTATCACAGCAGGGGGATCAGGCTCAGCTCGGTACAGCAAGGAGGGCACGTGGGGATCGATGCCCAAGGGGCTGGAGGAGACAGCAAGGGGAGGGGGTTCCTGCTCAACCCACCTAGCAGGATTCTTGCTGAAGGCAGGCCAGAGCTTAGACTTCAAAGGTGCAGATGTGGAGGGTGATCAGACTCCCTCTAGGGTGGGGTGGGGTGGTAGGATGGTGGGAGGCAGTTGTCTCTTAGCTGACCCAACAGGATTCTTGCTAAGACTGGGCCATCCATGCAGGTTGCAGGGGGAGAGTGGGGTCAAGGTCAAGGCCGATTGGAGAAGAGGGATCAGAGGAGCCTAAAGTTTGGTCAAGGAGACAGTCCAGGAAGATCCAGGGAAGCACTTACACCCTGAGCACAGGTGGGGGGTTGAGGGGACTCCCCCTTGTTGCTGCAACTGGTAGCTTGCCTGTCACCCATGGCTTGCAGGCAAGTGAAACTCACCCCTGGCCCCAGGGTTCCTGAGCACAGCACTGGGGCACTTGGGGCTCCTGGTGCCTGCCAAGAACATGACTGGCTCCCCAGAACAGAGTGACCCGGTCCCTGAGAGCAATCCCACTTTCTGTGTCTGTGGGTCCTGCTTGCCCCAATGTGCCTCCAGTGGATAATTGTATACAATGCACGGAATGCGGGATCTAAATCTGATATTTTCTGCTTCCTGCCTGACTCAGGGAGCCCCTTCCATGGCTGAAGCAGCAATAATGCAAACCACATTGCAAAGGATCTTCTAATTTCCCTTCGCACTGCCCTGGAGGAATGCTGCAGGCATCAGTTTCCCCGTACCCCGGGGAAGTCCCTGGGCCCCAGGGGCAGTGCAATCCGCAGTCCATGGGGAGTCTGATCTGAGCTCTGGCCTCATCATGTACCAAAGCTGCCCTTGTTTCTGGTGGGGTGGGTCTTCTGGGGGATCTGCTGATTTTTCTCTGTCCTCTAAAGTGAAGCTTCAGCACTGTAGGGGTCTAGGCATCCCAAGTGGAGCCGGACCACCACCTCCCCGGTTACTCAGCAAACGCTCCCAGCCACAGCTCTGGGCCTGCGACCCTGCCAGGTTTTGAGGATGCAGAAGACCCTTGGGGGGCTCATACATCACGCAGGAACAGTTGGAGATGTCAACACGGATGCAGGCCCAAGATGCACAGGGAAAAGACAAACAACTAACTCCACCTGGGGTTGGGCCATACAAAGAACTCTTCCGGGAGGAGGTGGTTCCAGACCTGGGTCATGAAAAATGTGAATGTTGTCTCTGAGCTTTGGGTTTTCTTACTGGTGAAACACACATAATGGAAACCTTTAATTCACAGCTCTGCTTGAGACTAAATATGACTGGGATGAGAGGAAATGTATGGTAAGCCCTGTAGATTAGCGACCCCGAAGCCATTCACAGCACCCTTCCTCTTCAACTTTTACTGCCATGGAGGCTGGAAAGGTGAAACTGTCATACCCCCAGCCTTCTTTGCATTTAGGAGGGCGCATGTGACAATTCTGGCCACATATATAGAAGTTCCTAAGGATGATTTACCTTGCTAGGAGAAAACTCTTTGTTTCTTCCTTGTCTTCTGCCTGGAAAGGAGATGTGTTGCTGGAGAGGCAGCAACCATCTTGTGGCTGTGAAGCACAAGCATGAATTTGGGACTTACCCATTGAAGATGGGGACCTGATGGCTCATGAACTATCATACAAGCCCTAGACTCTTTTTTTTTTTTTTTAAGATTTTATTTATTTATTTGACAGAGAAAGACACAGCAAGAAAGGGAACACAAGCAGGGGGAGTGGGGAGAGGGAGAAGCAAGCTTCCCATGGAGCAGGGAGCCCGATGTGGGGCTCGAGCCCAGCACCCTGGGATCATGACCTGAGCCGAAGGCAGACGCTTAATGACTGAGCCACCCAGGCGCCCCTAGACTCTTTCTTGAGATGTGTCAAGACTTCTCCTTGCACGAGTGCTTAGACCACTCTAAGTGGGGGTTTTCTGCAATGGCTTCTTATTGGTACAGCTGTAAAGCACTTACCTAAGGCCGGAACTAGAAACTGTTCAGTAGGGGGTAGGGGTGCTTGAGGAGGAGGAGGAGGGAGAGAAGACATAAAGTGTGTCCTAGCTAGCAGTGCAAAGCCAACGTGCCTCCAGAGAGCACAGTGTCCTCGGGGCTGGGGAGGAGGGCGTGCCCAGGGGTGGCTAGGTCAGGAGGCTGCAGACACCATGTGGGGCCTGCCCTTGGGGGCCTTGTGTGCCACGCCCGAGAGTTTACATTTATTCCAAAGGAGAAGTGAGTGGACTCACAGAATGAACAAAGGAAAGAGTATTTCAGGACGGGGACTGGGGTGTGATGAACAGTACTCTTCTAGGAAGCTGAGGCCAGAGTCAAGGTGGGCCTCAGGATGGAAATGACAAGGTGGGGTAGTGAGTGAGGCATCCTTCGCCAGAAGCGTGGTTCCGAAGCAGAGGAGGCAAGCCGGGGATCTCTTAGAACTGTTGTATAGATCTAATTCATCCTCACTGCAGAATAAATACAGAAAATATGGATAGTGCAAAAATGACATAAAATTCACCATTCATTCTATATCAGACATAACAACTATGAACATTTTGTTGTTCCTTCTCTCTTGACATTTTATTCTCTCTCTATATATCTATCTATATATATATCTTTAAACAATACAAAATCTTACTGGATGTACTATTTTGTAACTTGCTTTTTCATTTGTCACCCTGTAAACATTCTTCCATGTTAAATTACCTCCCTCCCAAACCATCATTTTATTTTTTTTCTTTTTTTTATTGTTATGTTAATCACCATACATTACATCATTAGTTTTGGATGCAGTGTTCCATGATTCATTGTTTGTGCATAACACCCAGTGCTCCACGCAGAACGTGCCCTCTTTAATACCCATCACCAGGCTAACCCATCCCCCACCCCCCTCCCCTGTAGAACCCTCAGTTTGTTTTTCAGAGTCCATCATCTCTCATGGTTCGTCTCCCCCTCCGATTTCCCCCCCTTCGTTCCTCCCCTCCTGCTATCTTTTTTTTTTCTTAACTTATATTGCATTATTTGTTTCAGAGGTACAGATCTGTGATTCAACAGTCTTGCACACTTCACAGCACTCACCATAGCACATACCCTCCCCAGTGTCTATCACCCAGCCACCACATCCCTCCCACCCCCCACCACTCCAGCAACACTCAGTTTGTTTCCTGAGATTAAGAATTCCTCATATCAGGGCGCCTGGGTGGCTCAGTTGGTTGGGCGACTGCCTTCGGCTCAGGTCATGATCCTGGAGTCCCGGGATCGAGTCCCACATCGGGCTCCCTGCTCAGCGGGGAGTCTGCTTCTCCCTCTGACTCTCCCCCCTGTCATGTGCTCTCTATCTCTCATTCTCTCTCTCTCAAATAAATAAATAAAATCTTTAAAAAAAAAGAAAAAGAATTCCTCATATCAGTGAGGTCATATGATACCCAAACCATCATTTTAAATCTTTACTTAGGATGCCATGTACCGACATACAATAACTTACTTGTCCAGTCCTTAAGGTATGGATATATGATGGAAAGGTGGGGTGTGTGGCAGGAGATGACTGGGTGGTCTTTTCAAGGCTAGCTGGCTGTTTGAGCCAGATACACCAGGAGGCTGTTTGGGAGCAAAGTGCTAATGTGTCAAAAAACACTTTGGTGAGTCTCTGTGTCCTTTGTTGAGTAAAGGAAGGTCTCAGGAGATGGGGAGAAGAGCAGGAAGACCAAGAGCTTCATCTTTTTGTATTACAAAGTAATGGACATTTGGGAGGAGTTGTCTGTCGGCAACTTGTGAGCTCTGGGAGAGGCAGGTGAGGTGAGTACCCCAGCCAGCTGGAGAAGGACGCTGCTGGGAAGGTGGCGTCCAGGGGCTGCCTTGATCCTGTTCTGCTCTGTGATGCTCCTCCAGGACACCCCCCATGCCTGGGGCACGGCAAATCCAGCCTTTCTGTTTGGATGCTAAGGGAAAGGGACTGCCGAAGTCTGGAGAACTTGGGCGCACACACAGGGACACAAAGCTTTCAGTGGCTTTGATAACGTCCACCAGACCTTTCCCAGGAGGCTGGGCACAGAGCTCCTCCCCAAACCCACGCCAGCCCTGGGTTCATTTCCTTAAATTCTCTCAAATTTGTTAAGGGCAAAGTGATATTTCTTGTTTTAGAAGGACATGTATTTGATTCCAGCGAGGTTAAACATGTTTCCGCCGGTTTCTCGGTCTCAG